GGCATTGTATATTTTGACTTAGACCATGATGCATCATATGATGAGGACAGTGATGGTGTTTCAAGGAGAAGGAACTGCAGGTTTTTTAGTCTTTATGTAGCACAAACTTTGGGTGTCTTAACTACTGTAGGGAGGCTTAGGGTCACAAAATCCTTCACAACAGCAGACCAACAATGCACTAAGTCAGGCAAGTACCACACCACTGGCAATAGAACCTGCACAATCCAAGCAATCTAAAAGAAAGCGTGCAGCCTCATAATCAAGTGCTGGAATAGCTACTGGCTCATCTTATCTTCAGGTTAGTAAATTTCAGTGAAGTGATATGAAACGAGAAGTCAATTTCAGTGAAGTAATTTCAAACCATTTTTGTGCAGTCTGGCCATAAGAGAAAAATGGTGTCCTTTGCAAACTCGAAGTCCATTGCTGAAGCATCAGCAAAGACAGTTGCTGGTGGCCTGATGGGAGTGCATCTGTTAAATTGTGTTTGGATCTTTGAGCTAAAGTTTAATCCGTGTCACATCGAATATTCGGAGGCTAATTAGGAGGACTAAATATGAGTTAATTATAAAACTAATTACACAAATAGAGGCTAATTTGCGAGACGAATCTATCAAGCTAATTAATCCATCATTAGCACATGTTTACTGTAGCATCACATTGTCAAATCATGGACTAATTAGGCTTAATAGATTCGTCTCGTAAATTAGCCTACATCAGTGAAATTGATTTTGTAAATAGTCTATGTTTAATACTCCTAATTAGTATCTAAATATTCGATGTGACAGAGACTAAACTTTAGTCCTAGAAACCAAACGGGCCCAGTGTTGAAGAACCTATACCAGATCAGTTGTGCTGTGTAGCTATCTCTAAGGCAGCTGCTATGGGTTCCAGTGCTTCTCGTACTATCAGACTTTCTGGGACTGTGGCTGGCATCCCTGCCTTGATTCTTGTCGACTCTGGCAGTTCCACTTCCTTTGTCGATGAGTCGTTGGCCTCTCAAATGTCCACACTCAGCTCATTCAAAGACCAACCAAGGTGCAAGTTGCGGTGGTGGTTTCCTTGAGTTCAGCGTTCTCGATCAAAAAGCCATGGACAATTGATCGCTGCACCTTTTCATCCGATTGGATTCTTCCAATTGACAAAGATTTGATGCTATTATCGGCATGGATCAAGTTATCTCGCATTCATTCAATGCAAGTCCACTGCTCCAAAAATGGTTGCTCATCCCGTATCATGGCAACTCCGTGTTCTTTTGCAAGGCATCGATGAGGAGCCTCCTCTCCATTATCTGTTGCAACTCTACAACCGTCCACTTCCTCCAAAGCCATCTCTTCTCGCAGAGACGTTGCCACCGTAATCCAAACCTTGATTGATGCATTCCCCGATTTGTTTACCCTACCGATTGAGCTGCCACCTTCCGGGGCCTGCAATCATTCGATTCCCTTGCTGCCCGGTGCCGAGTCCAATATTTATTCGCCATACCGTTATCCACCAAGCTTCAAGGATTTAGAGATCGAGTGCCAAGTCAATGAAATGTTGTCCCAAGGAATTATTCAGCCAAGCGCTAGTGCCTTTTCTTCACCAAAGCTCCTCGTCAAGAAAAAGATGGGTCCCTACGGTTTTATGTCGACTTCCGCCATCTCAATGCTCTCACAGCTAAGTCCAAATTCCGGTTCCGATCTTTGATGAGCTGATGGACGAGCTCTCCCAAGCCGCTTTGGTTTACTAATTTGGACCTCCGTCTTTGGGTTTCATCAAATCTTGCTCGGCCGGAGAAGAGCATAAGATCGCCTTCCAAACCCACAGGTCAAGTATGAGTTCAGGGTAATGGCCTTTGGTTTGACCGGTGCTCCAGGTACATTTCAGGGTGCCATGAATGCCACTTTGGCTCCGGGCTCTGTCGCTTTGTGATTGTATTCTTCGACGATATATTGATATCTGATCGCACTTTTGAGGAGCATGTGCAACATGTGGCCATGGTCTTCCAGTGGCTTGCAGCTGATCAATGGAAGCTTAAACTCTCCAAGTGTAAGTTTGCTCAACGTTCAGTGTCATATTTGGGCCACGTCATTAGCAGTGCTGGTTTGGCAACCGATCCAGCCAAAGTACAGGCGATTCAGGACTGGCCAACCCCAACTACAGTCCGTGCTCTTCGCGGATTCCTCGGACTTGCCGGGTACTATAGGAAATTTGTTCGTCGTTTCGATGTCATTGCCAAGCCCCTTAATGACTTGTTGAAGAAAGATTCTCTGTTTATCTGGACCTCTCTGCATGATTCAGCATTCAGTTCCCTCAAAACAGCACTGTCTTCAGCCCCAGTCTTGGCTCTTCCGGATTTCTCCATTCCATTTGAGGTTGAGACTGATGCCTCTGGCTATGGAATTGGTGCTGTCTTGCAACAACGCGGCCACCCTTTGCCCTATATCAGTAAAGCCTTGGGGCCTCGCAATCAGGGTCTCTCCGTCTACGAGAAGGAGCATTTGGCCATTCTTATGGCGGTGGACACTTGGCGTCATTATTTGTTGCAATCCGAGTTTGTGATCCACAATCGACGAAAAAGTCTTGTGCATCTCAATGAGCAATGGCTTCACACGCCTTGGCAAAGAAAAAGGTGTTCACCCTTTGTTGGGCCTCCGTTATCGCATTGTCTACCGCCATGTGAAGATAATACCGTGGCTGATGCCTTGTCCCGCCGGCCTACTTCTGCACATCTGTTGGCAGTGTCATCTCCTGTCCACGACTGGAAAGCAGCATTGCAGGATTGGTACAAGCAAGATCCTGAAGCCTCTAGTCTGTTAACTCAGCTGTCGTTGGATCCTGCAGCTAAGCCTCCATTTAGCTTGCACCAAGGGCTTCTCATGTACAAGGACCGGGTTTGGTCGGGTTCTTTCACTGATCTGCAGTCTCGTGTACTGTCAGCTCTTCATGACAGTGCCGTTGGAGGCCATTCCGGTGCTCCTGCCACACTTTCCAGAATCCGCCAACTCTTCTATTGGCCTGGTATGAGAGCTGCCGTTCTTAAATACCTGCAGTCTTGCTCTGTTTGTGCTCAGGCAAAACTGGACCGCAGCAGCTATCCCGGTCTCCTACAACCCCTGCCGGTCCCTAAATCTTCCTGGGAAGTAATCTCATTGGATTTCGTCGAAGGGTTGCTTCTCTCGGGCTCTGCCAACGTTATCATGGTGGTCGTGGATAAATTTTCTAGGTTTGCACATTTTGTAGCGTTGCGCCATCCGATTTCTGCTGCTTCTGTTGCTCGTGCCTTTCTGGATCAGATTTACAAGTTGCATGGGTTGCCGCTGGCTATCATTTCTGATCGGGATCGGCTGTTCACTAGCAAGTTCTGGCAGCTACTTTTCAAATTGGTAGGGACTGACCTCCGCATGAGTTCTGCATACCATCCGCAGACGGACGGCCAGACAGAGCGTGTGAATCAGTGTATGGAGACGTATCTGAGATGCTTCGTTCATGCCTGCCCTCGCCAATGGTCGCAGTGGCTTTCCCTCGCCGAATATTGGTACAATACAGCTTTTCACTCGGCTCTGGGAAGATCACCCTTTGAGGTGCTGTATGGCTGTCCGCCACGGCATTTGGGGTTGGACCTTTCCTCAGCGGCTCCTGTACCGGATCTTCAGCAGTGGCTCTCTGATCGGGACTTGATGCAGCGCATTGTCCGCCAACACCTGGAGCGCGCTCAACTTCGCATGAAGAGACAAGCAGATAAGCGTCGATCTGAGCGCTCTTTCAATGTGGGTGATTGGGTTTTCTTGAAGCTCCAGCCGTATGTGTAGTCGTCAGTTGCGGCTCGCTCAAACAACAAGCTCTCATTCAAGTTCTTTGGGCCCTTCTGAGTTCTGAAGCGTGTTGGTGCTGTGGCTTATCTCCTGGACCTCCCGGCAACAGCATCAGTTCACCCCGTCTTTCATGTATCACTGCTCAAGAGCTCTCCAGGTTCGCAGACTGTGAGTTCTTCGTTGCCTTATGATCTTGTGGCCTTTCAGGTGCCTGAACGTTTCTTGCAATGGCGCTGGACACCCGGTGATCACTCTGTTCAACAAGTTCTCGTCAAGTGGTCGCATATGCCGGCGTCGCTGTCCACTTGGGAGCCTGCCGAGGAGCTTCGTCGCCCCAGGGCTTCCCGACGAGCTCGGCGTGGGGACACGCCGGTTCACAAGAAGGGGGAATGTCAAGCACGGTTCTGTCCCGGCGTCCTCGACCGCGGCGACCCTGCTGGAGGCAGCGTCCCATGGCAGTTCCGTCCCTTCGCCAAGGCCCAAGAGGCGTGTCCGCCCAATCCACGGGTGCTCGGGCCCATGTGGCGTCCGTGAGATGAATATATGTATGGGGAAGGAGTGAGAGGGGACACGAAAAGTTGTAAACCCTAATACATTTATGTTAATCAAGCACTCTTCGTTATCGTACATTCTTGTTCTTCTTTATCGAGTTCTAGCTCTGTAGTTCCTGCTCACACGTAGCATGGTTTTTATCCAAACACACACACTTTGTTTGCCCCGGAGGCGTAGCATGGTGGGCCTCGTAGAAGCTCGGCTCAAACCAAAATAAGGAAATGGCGAGGGCCCAAACAAGGAAACAAGCATACGTCCGGATCGCCGCCCTCCACAATGTGCTGTTTCCTTTTTTTATATAAAAAACATAGAACCGTTCACGATTTGTATTTGTTGTTTCCTGACGCGAGAAAAGAAGTAGGAGTAGAGAAACGAAGGAATCAATAATCAATCAAAATCAAAATCGCAAAAGGATGTTCACTTTTCCTTGTACACATACATGGCAAGAGCCAAGAGGGAATCGTTTTTCTTTCTGTTGAAGATTAAGAGGGGATCAAAATCGCAAAGGCTGTTTATATTTCCATGTATATACATCACTAGTACCTCATGCATGTGCCCTATATAATAAAACCCAAGCAATCCTTGCTTACCTTTACTACCAAACAAACATTCTAATACGTCTCTCCCTTTCAAAAGGATCGGATCGGATCCAATATGGCGGCCAGGAGCTTCAGCGTCGACCTGGCAGCGGCCGTGTTCTTGTTCGTCGTGCTCTTTGCTTCACCTGCACAATGTAAGCGTGTAGATTACAACCTTTGCTGGTCTCTGCATGCCATTTATGCCATGTGTATCTATGAATTTGATTTGCAGGTCGTCGAGGGCTACTTGATCAGGTCGGAAGTCCAATGAGGTACCCAAGCGATAATGCTACTACTACCGCGGTCGTCAACTCCACGGCACTAGATGGGAGCAAGTTCACGGTGATATTTTGTGTCCTAAGGCTGTGTGGCAAACGAGACTGCTATTGCTGCGAGACTGGAGATTACTGCTACTACTCACGGAAACAGTGCCAGGCCAACTGCGACAGCTGCGACCCCAAGTGCCCGCCGCCGCGGTTGCCCCTGCAGTAATCGGCGCAAAGGGCATGCCAGTCCGGCACACAACCGTCTGATCTGGAGCATCTCGGCTCATGGCTATCTGCCTTCTGAAATTCACCGTCTTGAAACATCCTTATATATGTCCCAAGATTTGATGTTTTAGTATTTTTAATTTAAGATTTAATAGCTTTATGTGCTTTGTACTTTCGCTTTTTTTTTAATAAACTAGCAAATATGCCCGTGCGTTGCAACGGAAGAACATAAGCTATCGAATATATAGGAATGCTGAGAAAATAAGCTATCGAATATTCGTGGAAAATGAGAATAAAGAATGTTATATAGCTATTTATATTTTATCCTTCTATAAAAATTTTAAACTAATTTATTTTACAATGATCGTGACGTCCATAATATATAATATAAAAATTTAATATTGATAATATTTGAGATCTGTAAAGGTGGCTCTGATTCGTGTACTGGCTTGGCATGGCACAAGCACCGAGCCTATACATGAATTTTTTCAATTAAATAAAAGGCAAAGTGGATAGCACCGTACGCGCTTCTGTTTAGTTGTAACCGTTTCCTTAGCGGAGGGTTGTTGTGTCCGACCCGAACTCCGCAGACGTGGGTGTCGGACGCTGCAGGCGGGGCGAGCGATTAGTTAACGACGATAACTCTTCATACTTTTTATTAGGTGTGTAGTATTTGTGTGAATGTATATGTATGTATGTGTATGTGTATACGGGTAAACGTAAATAGTACATAGAAGTTTTTTTTATTTGGATTAGGACTCCAATTCACGTTAGTCAGGATGAGAGGAATTAGATTAGGATTCCTCGTTATCTAAGTTATCTCAAAAAACCCTACATATGCTATATATAAAATAGAGTTGTACAGAGACGAACAAAGATAGTTTTCATATTTTTGGAGTTAGTTAGAGAAAGACGGCAAAAAAAAAAAAGAGGATGGACCAAAATAAATAGGCTGAAATTTTATCTTTTTATTATTAGGTATATGTATAGATTTTGAGTAGGGTCGCTTTGCCCCTCTTGTTTACCTAAAAAAATTAGAGCTTAATTGAAATTATCCATGTATCTCTTTATCAAAGGCGATTCATGCATGATACCTGCAAAAAAAATCATGGAGGCAGACATATCACAATCTTAAACTTATATGGCCCAAACTAGTTTTATAAAAGTTACTGCCTCTTCGCTTGAACTTATCAAATTGCATCTGCGTTTAATGAAATAACAATGTTTTTCTCTCACAACACATCAACATCAGCATCACCGTTTTTCCAGGGCCTTACTCCCTCCGTTCCAAATTATAAGTCACTTTGATTTTTTTGGTTTATCTATTTTGCTATATGTATCTAGACATATTATTATTTCTAGATGCATAGTAAAATGGATGTAACACAAAAAGTCAAAACGATTTATAATTTATAACAGAGGGAGTAAAACATTATTTTTTCTAGGGCAGAGAGTATTAATTGAAATATTATTGTTTGGGACAAAAGTAACATAATATAAAGAGAAATGGGCAGGGAAGCATGCATTTTATTAATCGGAAATGCTACAGTGAGGACATCCGATCCGAATGCTCCTGTTCGTGGTCCGCAGCACCAGCCCAATGGCCCAATAGTCGTAACCTCTCCTCCACAACTCCCTAATCGTAGCCTGTTGTCTCCATTCTCTAGAAAAAAATCTACGCAGCTTGAGCGGCCGCGCTCCGCCGCGCTGCCCCGGTGTTCTCCACGGTGGCCGGGGGCCCGACGGCAGCATCTCCACCACCCGCCAGGTGTGCGCCCGCCTTTGATCCCTCTTCATCGCGCCTCTCGCCTGCCTTCCTCCTCCCTCTCCACCGCGCCTCCCGCCTCTCGACCTTCTCCACGGAGCAGCGACAACTCGCTTGGACCCGTCCACGGCCTTCTCCACCGGGCGAGCGATAGCTCGCGCTAGCACGAGATCGGGAGCGCCACCATCCGGCGCCGCGTCGATCCACCTCGCCCGTCACAGAAGGGAAGTAGGGAGAGCTGCGCTGCGCCCCATCCACCTCGCACCGTCGGCGGAAGGGGGCCCGCGCCACCGTAATTCCCCACCACGTGGGGTCATGACCGGCTGCGGCGTCTGCTGTGTTTCAAGTGTTTCTAGACGTTTTTTTCAGACATGTTGCAAGCTTATTTCTTAAGTCTTTCAGTTGTTTCAGATGTATGTTTCAATTGTTTCATGCGGATGTTGCAAAAGTAGATTTGGATATTGCAATGGTTGTACACGTATATGTTACAAGCGTCTATCCCTAATGTTTTATCTGTTTTTTTACACGTAGGTTTGAAACACTTACAACATACGGTTACCGGCTCTGCTGCTTGCCATGCTCGCATCACATGTGATATCTTCCCTGCACGAGCTTGGATCGTCTCTTCCTCTCCATCTCGGATAATAAATCCCTAGCTTCCTCTTGATGAGACCACCATTGGCATTTACATTCTTCACACCGTTTGGGGGGCCACTCCATTTATTTCGCCATTGTCTCATGGTAATCCATGCGAGCTCCTGATGATCTATTTGTTGCTTAGGTTTGAGGAGGAGAATGTGCTCCACACACTGTTTGGCGTCTGACAACACACTTAGCTCCACTCTGACGTCCTCAACCCCGTCGTAGTTACTGTCAAATCCAAAGTGAGTGTTGAGTTGTGTGTCTGTCAACCTCGATTACAGCCATCGCTTGGCCCGCGCCAAGATTGGTCGGGCATTATTTTGTCCCATTAGAACACGACCAGCACCGCCTTAGCTATATTAGATGGCCTCTAGTTCATCATCGCACTCTGGATTCACAAACGGATCTATGAGTTTCCCTCTCCCTCGCTTTACCCTCTCTCTCCTAGAAACCACCACGGCGCACAAACGGGCTTGGTGAGAAGGGAGAAGGAGGAGAGGCGGCAGATGGAGAAAGGCGAAGGAATGGGAAGAAAACCCTCTCCCTTCCCCTATTTAAATGCGGATGGGTAGGCGATGGGATGCGTCATGACTGATGGGACACACCCTGCCCAACGAAACATCACCCGGTTAAAACGGAACGTGGCCTAGGCAGGGCCCACCACTACCACAACCCAAGCACAGGAAACGAGGCGCAACCGCATGCAAACGACCCTCCGCCTTCCTAGGTAGGGCTTGGAAGGGCCCACCGATGGGATCTCCGTCGAGGAGAGACCAACGGGCTTCCTGAGTCGATCGGACGGCTCGGGCGACTGCCGAGAGACAGATATGGAAGACTAGGATGCTCGTGCAGGTTACACCGGCCCCGACACGAACGTCGGACCCAGACCCCGCATGGACATATCTTGTAAGAGCTCCCAGAATCCGTCACTCGTGCCATCGATGTAACATTACCGATCCCCACTTTTTCTTTATATGATCATTCATTCATCCATTTTCATTCATTCATACATTCATTCAGTCATTCATACATTCATCCCATACATCCAAGCATTGTATATGCAATTGCTGCATGACAACGCTTCGTGTTGCGTCACGAAGCGGTAGTCGCCTCATTCAACATGAGCGACAAACGATCGGGGTTCGAAGGCCGACCCACGAAGGGCTCAAGGCTGCCTCGCGTCAAACAGAGCCAGGGGAGAAAACATAGATGAGCCCCAGCGGCCCTCGCTTGATCTGCTCAGAAGTAGACAGGGTCATCTCGACCTTCTCGTTCGATCCAAACCTCGAGCCATGCCCACATAATCTCCACCAAGGGGAGGCCAGCGGGCCACCTGAGTCGGTCTCCGGAACAGCTCAGGCATCTGCCGAGAGGTGGGTTATGGAGCAGTGGAATGCCACATGAGGGCTATGCCGACCCCGTTACGAACAATGGACCCGGATTCCACTAGAACATACCCGTTAGAGAGCTCTCCAAGCGCGTCACCCAAGCCATCGAGGCAAGCGACGTTAGCTCAATCCCTCCGATTGTGGAAACCGTGGACGGGGTAACGCACGAAACTTAACTGACCCCTACCAAGCCCAACGGGGCTCAGGGGATTGGGTCGCCTGGCCCCTCGGTGCGCCCAACGGCCGTGCTCAACGCCTTGGTTAGCACCTTGGTTAGGCGACTCCGTCACGTCTGACCCCTCAGTGTGCTCGACCCCTCAGTGCGCCCGACGGTCGCGCTCGATGCCTGGGTCAACGACTCCATCTCGCCCGACCCCTCGCACGCCCGCCGCCTTGGTTGTTGACTCTGTCTTGCCCAACCCATCGGCGCGCGCTCGACGCACCGTGCTCAACGCTTGGGTGCGTGGACTCCGTCTCGCCCGACCCTCGGCATGCCCGATGCCTTGGTTGGTGACTCTGTCTCGCCCAACCCATCGGCGCCCGATGGTCGTGCCCGACGCTTGGGTCCTCGACTCCGTCTCGCCCGACCCCTCGATGCGCCCGACGGCCGCGCTCGACGCTTGGGTTCGTGACTCCGTCTCGCCCGATCCCTCGGCCACGCCCGACGCCTGGGTTTGTGACTCTGTCTCGCCCGATCCTCGGTCGTCGCTGACGCGCTAACGTTCGGTGCGCCGCCGCGCATCCATCGGCAAGTTGAAAAATCCCCAGGCGATTCTACCTAAATCACCCCTAGGGCTCAAGGCTACACCACCAGTGCGCTCCCGCCGCACCACGACAGACAGAAAAAATCCCCGGTGATTCTACCTAGATCACCCAGGGGCTCAGGGACTACACCTGACCGAGTGCCAAGCACCCACCGGGCGTAACGAAAAAACCCCAGGCGAGTCTACCCAAATCCCTCGAGGGCTCGGGGGGCTCCTGTCGGGTTCATAAACCCAGGGTCCCCAATGGGCCCGCTTCCCAGCAAAAAGCTCAACCCAACAGACGACATTGCAACAATGTGCAACTCTTAGGTCGACCTAGATACCTAATGACAGGCCAAAAGAGCGATCCAGTCTCCAACCGAAAGGCCTAGCCAAGGAGGGGACGACGCTCGCTTCTGACTCAGACCCGCTTCTCCGACCGGGAATACACCGAACCCCTGCT